CATCAAGGACAAGATTACGAGAATTACAAGATTACGAGAATTACAAGATTACAAGATTACAGGGTTTACAAGATTACAACAATTACAAGATTACAACAATTACAAGATTACAACAATTACAAGATTACAGCAATTACAAGATTACAGCGATTACAAAATTACAGCAATTACAAGATTAGAGCAATTACAAGATTACAACAATTACAAAATTACAACAGTTACAAGATTACAACAATTACAAGATTACGGCAATTACAAGATTACAACAATTACAGGATTACAACAATTACAAAATCACGGCAATTACAAGATTACAACAATTACAAGATTACAGCAATTACAAGATTACAGCAATTACAAGATTACAACAATTACATGATTACAACAATTACAAGATTACAGCAATTACAAGATTACAGCAATTACAAGATTACAACAATTACAAGATTGCAGCAATTACAAGATTACAGCAATTACAAGATTACAACAATTACAAGATTACAGCAATTACAAGGTTACAAGGATTACAAGGATTACAAGATTACAAGAATTACAAGATTACAGCAATTACAAGATTACAACAATTACAAGATTGCAGCAATTACAAGGTTACAAGGATTACAAGATTACAGCAATTACAAGATTACAAGGATTACAAGATTACAACAATTACAAGATTACAACAATTACAAGATTACAGCAATTACAAGATTACAGCAATTACAAGATTACAACAATTACAAGATTACAACAATTACAAGATTGCAGCAATTACAAGGTTACAAGGATTACAAGATTACAGCAATTACAAGATTACAAGGATTACAAGATTACAACAATTACAAGATTACAACAATTACAAGATTACAGCAATTACAAGATTACAGCAATTACAAGATTACAACAATTACAAGATTACAACAATTACAAGATTACAACAATTACAAGATTACAGCAATTACAAGGTTACAGCAATTACAAGATTACAAGGATTACAAGATTACAAGAATTACAAGATTACAAGAATTACAAGATTACAAGGATTACAAGATTACAACAATTACAAGATTACAGCAATTACAAGATTACAGCAATTACAAGATTACAACAATTACAAGGTTACAACAATTACAAGATTACAGCAATTACAAGGTTACAAGGATTACAAGATTACAACAATTACAAGATTACAAGGATTACAAGATTACAACAATTACAAGATTACAACAATTACAAGATTACAGCAATTACAAGGTTACAAGGATTACAAGATTACAGCAATTACAAGGTTACAAGGATTACAAGATTACAGCAATTACAAGGATTACAAGATTACAACAATTACAAGATTACAAGGATTACAAGATTACAGCAATTAGAAGATTACAACAGTTACAAGATTACAACAATTACAAGATTACAGCAATTACAAGATTACAGCAATTACAAGATTACAACAATTACAAGATTACAACAATTACAAGATTACAACAATTACAAGATTACAAAGATTACAAGATTACAAGGATTAGAAAATTAGAAGGATAGAAGAATGACAAGAAGGACAAGATTACAAGGATTACAAGATTACAAGGCTAAGGATAATAAAGGATATAATAGGTTTCAGCGAGACATGGACCCGTTACCGCACCAGGGGAGGTAGAGACCGCTGGCACTGGCCAATCAGAACACTCAGTGACTCAGACAACAACTTTTATTAATAGTAAGAGAAATCAGCTACAGATTTACATTTCATTTGTTTACTATTTATATATTGAAATGTTGATATCAAAACGTCCATATTATACACAAATTAATATATGAAACCTCTATATGTGTAAAACTATACAGTTTCCCCAAAATAAACCAAAACCACTTAAGATAATGATTATATGTTGATTCTTTTCAAAACAGACGTAATTTGAAAAAGATAGGGTAGTTTGTAATGTTTCTTATTGGCAATTTCAAATGGTTTTCATTTTCGGAAATGCTTTTTAACAAACTATAATTATACACAATATTAAAATTCAAATATTAGAACACAAGCTTAAAAATCACATAGTATTTTAATTATGACCTTAAACACAGCAATTATATTTATGCTGTTTTTCATATAAAGTCTGCATGGGTAATATTCAAACTAGGTCACTCACTTAATTATACAGGCCGAAAATGTTATTTGAATGTACAATAAATCCTCTATATATGTCAGGGGGGAGTTATTAGAGCTAGGGGGGGGGGGGTAATGGAGAGGGGGTTAGTCGTTTGAATAAGACGCAGTAAATTAACGTGAATTCCGAGACAAATGGACCAATCCCCAAGTAACCAAAATTTTGATCTCAACAAGTCTAAACAAAATTTCATCACAGCTTGAAAGAGCATCACAAAATTAGTAATATTCCAAAGTTTCGTTGCGAAATGTTAGCTTTGCGAAATTTACAATTTTCAGTCATTTTGTATTTAATACGAGCGTGAAACGGTTACCACGTACTTTTCCAAAATTTTGATCTTAACTAGCCTAAACAAAAATTTCATCACAGCTTGAAAGAGCATCACAAAATTAGTAATATTGCAAAGTTTCGTTGCGAAATGTTATACAATGCGGATAATATAGCCTTGCGAAGTTTGTAATTTTCAGTCCTTTTGTATTACGCACAGAAGTGGTAACTATTTCCCGTGCGTAATACAAAATGACTGAAAAACGGCAAACTTCGCAAGGCTATATTATCCGCATTTTAGTATAATTACAAAGGTGATTATCGAAAATTGTGGCCGCTGATTGGTCAAGCGACCTCGGATTATTACGCGATAATCACCTAAGCGTTTTTTTCAAAATGGCGGCGAGTTGTTTTGCCAAAGTGACAGATAAAGAAATAAGTAATTTTAAAGAAAATGCTGTACCTAAGAGCACGAAAGAAGAGACAAAATTTGGCTTAAAATTATTTTGAGGTAGGAAACTAAGTTGCAGAAATCTGCCTAACTTTATTTCGCATAAAACATCGTTTTATTTTAAATTGCCGTATACTACAATTGTGAATTGTCTAGACATTTGTTTACGTTTGTAAAAATATATTTTCTACAGATTGGTTTCAACAACAGTCAGAATTCACAAATGAGTTTGAAGACATGAGTATTGACGAAATGAACCGAATTTTTATCAAAATTTTATACCTTTCTGTAAGAAAAACTGATAGGAATTACTACAAGAAACATCCTTGATGGCGATACGAGCGCCTTCATTGCGCATACCGCTTTCTTTATTGAGATGTGTTATATTATTTTTTTCAAATAATCACCTTTGTAATTATACTAAAACAATTATTCGCCTCAGGCTCGGTGAATATCGCTGAATAAAAACCTCGACTTCGTCTCGGTTTTTATTCAGCGATATTCACCTCGCCTTCGGCGAATAATTGTTAATTACAACATTTCTCAACGAAACTCTGGAATATTACTACTTTTGTGATGCTCTTTGAAGCTGTGATGAAATTTTTGTCTAGACTTGTTGAGTTCAAAATTTTGGGGATTGGTCCATTGATAAACCTAATCAATATACTACACTGGGAAAAAATGTGAAATCCATACTGTGAAATTTACAATGGCACCACTAGATCCATAGTATATCATCCATGCTATTTTCAGTATTTTGATACTATATCCACAGTATGGAAATATACAATTATTATGGATCATCAAAATCCATTCTATTTTCAATGAAGGTCCATACAATTTCTATTCTATGACCTTATATGGATTTTCAAATTTTTTCCAGTGGTATACACAGGTGTTTCTTTGCTGTGAATGAGAGGCGCTTAATAGAGGATTTACGGTAAAATCAACAAAATATTCTGCTAAAGTTCACAGAGATGGTTTTTGCAGAAAAATGACACGGTTTTCACTAACCAAAGCAACTGCACCATTTGTGTTGCAGACAAGATGGCTGCAATGTGCTGGTATACCTTCTGGAAAGTTTGTACCATACAGTAAACATGAGCACTGACATTCAGCGGTTTCACCAGACAAATATTCTATCAATATCTTACCAGCAAGATATGGAGCCATTGCCATAACGTGACTAATGTTCTCGGTGACTTGGTTGTAAAATATTGTGCAACGCCGGTCTAACAGGTTATCCGCTTCACTTGAATGAAGTTTAACAGCCCTTTGTAACAACTCTCCGTCTTCTGTGTAGATATAAAGCATGTGTGATTGTGAATCTTCAAAACTGACCTGAGCTTTTGCACGACCGGCGGTTGTTACGAGTATTATTTTATTATCGAAAGAAACAGACACGAATTCTATGTAATGTTCATTATATGATATCCCTGACCTCAAACCTGTGTCAAAGCTGTTTATCAGTTTTCCGTCGCTGTTACATAAATATACCATGATATTCCGTGTCTTATAGTAATAGCCACAACTAATAACAATCTTTTTGTCATTGGTCACAGTGATATGACTGTCGCGACAGATTTTTTCTTCAAGGAATTTCAAAATACAATGACACATATTTCTTCCATCTGCACTGTACACTGACAACGTATAGTCACGGCCTCTGTCACGCGAAAAAACGTACATTGTGTCGTCTTCATCGAAAGCTAAATCAATGGCTTCCCCCAAGGGCTGAGGATGTTCAGTGTTGTCTTCCAAAGGAGAAAGGCAGTACGGCTGCAGCTTACCTGTTGTTTTGTCGAGTTTTTGAGGACCACCTCCGTCATTGGGGAGACAAATGAGATCTCCTTTTCTGGTGAGCCCACGCTTTGACGTGATTTCCACTTTGAGTACTACAATGTCCCAGGGTGCTGTTATTCCCATTTCTTTCAGATTTGGTAATCTCCTTTGGTCGTAATGAATCGGATGGACAACTCGCTTGCCACATTTTATCATTGGCCAATCAAGAACAGCCATTCTTCGCTTTGTAAACTTCGAGATAAAATCAGCCAAGATCAAGTTGATCATCGTTACAGTTTCCACGACTTCCACTCGTGACTCTTTCTTGAAGACTGATTTTATTCCACCTTTAAGATGCACGGAAAATATTTCTTGTATGGATGGCATGTCATTTAATTCTCTCAAGCTGTTTAAACAGTCACTTGCCGCGATTTCTGGGTCGTCCAAATGCTGAAGTATTGCGCTCGCGATGCGTACTTTACTCGCAAGGATTCTTTCGTCTGTGCTCAGTGCTGTGTTATGAAATGCTTCGCTTGCTTTTTCTGCTGCTTTTTCGAAAGATTTTTTAGCCAACTCGAATCGTTCATTTGATACGATCTTCAGATTCCCAATGACATTGGCAAGTGCAACTGCGTCTTCCACAGTCACTGACTGTTGAGCTGGCTTCGTCGCGTCAGGACTTTCCTTAGCAGTCGGTACTTCAGATGTACACTGGTTTCGACTATTGGAAAACTCGTCAAAAGACAAACTCAGGCGGTCGATACCTTCCCGTAGGGAACTAATGCTCGTACCAAGATCTTTTCTCGAAATAGCATCAAGCTTAGATTTGATGTCGTCCATTTCACGAACAACCAAACCTCGAAACTTTTGATCAGTGAGACCTCCATCTTGGAGTTTCTCAGCGCCATAATCACGAATTTTGTTCGATATAAAACCGAAGGCAAGCTTCAAAACACCTGTGACTACTTCAGACATCGTATCACAACTAAGTCAAGTTCAACAACACAGAGTATATGTATTTACTTTGTGTCAACAATGAGGAAATATTTTGGCGACAAGCCGCCGACGTCAGTGACTACAAGTGTCCCAAAAAAAAGAAAACTATTGAAATCACCAATAACAATTTAACTGTTAGAATTTGAATGCCTTAGCGCTCTGTTGGTTCCCACGAGTGCATAAATGATTGACATAAGTAAATTTTATGCATAAAGAAACTGTTTAAGAAGCTGTTTTAAATTCCCAAGAACAGAAAATCGCGAACTTTACAAGATGCTTTTAACTAAATTTTAATACATGCACCTTGTCAATATTTTACGCATCATTACGTTCAGCTGCTTGGAAGGGCATTCAAATTTTAACAATAGTGATTTCAATAGTTTTCGGGTTTTTTGGGACACCCAGGAAGTCACAAGACAGTCAAATGATAAAATGATTTTGTGGGATCATATATATTTCTCATAAATGTATTTGCAACATTCCAAATTCTTTAGGCTTTTAGTTGGCTATAAACCTTGTATGATCTCATTTGTACCAACTGTACTTTTCTTCATTTCGTTTTTTTTTCAAATTCAAAACATTCAGACGTGATTGTTTGATAAACTTGGTTCAGGGTGTATAAAGCATAAGGAAATTTAAAATATGGAAAAGAATTAACATGACAAAGCAACATCAGACCATATATTGAGCAAGTCACAAGACAGTCACATGCATGTGATTTGAGTTCCTGTGGTGTAAATAATTTCAAGGTTTTTAATATGTTGCCTGACCTTGTACGACCTGCTTCGAGAAAAACTGTATTCTTCTTCATTTAATATTTTATTAAATCAAAAAGTTGCGACAATCAAGTACTTGAGTGCTTTAATTATACTGTATTACCACTCGGAACTTTTGGCCAAAAAATTTGATCTTTAGCAAACCCCGGTATATTTTATTATATACAGCTATTTCAATTAAGGTTGTCCACGAGCAAAGCGGAAAAGTCGAATACGAGCGCGAAAGGCTGCTGGGAATCGTCAGTAAAAAATGAATGAATTTTCATAGCGATTCCCAGCAGCCTTTCGCGCTCGTATTCAACTTTTCCGCTTTTCTCGTGGACAACCTTAATTGAAATAGCTGTATATAAACCTCAGTATATAATGTCTATAATGATATAAAGATATTTTGTTTGGTAAATTGTTTATATAAATAAGTTACAAGAAGCAAGATATTCGATAAACGATTCAAATATCAGTGAGAGTGTTAAATCATGACCCCTGAATTTCCCTGGCTTTGAGATAGTTGGATCCACTTCTTAACACACAAGCGGACTTCCGCCTGATTCTTGGATATGATGGGTGGGATTATAATAAATATCGCTTGAAATAATCACTCAATTATCATGCAAGCGCGCAAAGCCAAAGTTTCCGTTGTTTTGGCTTTTGTGTGACTCTTGGGTAAAAGCTAAAGGTAGCACCGAAATTCACAAAGTTTGAACAGAAATTCATACTTGTAGCGACGTGAGCTATCCGGTTGTGATGTCGGCTCCGAGTGTGTGCACACCGGGCAATCTGAAAAGCCTGCTTTTCTTGAATAAAAGGCTTCCAGTGGGCTTCGCTGGGGTAATCGTTTCACCTTTGAGATTGTGGGTTGGATCTTCACATCGGACTAATGAGTAACTAATGACACTTATGTGATAAGAGTTTATTTATTTATTAACTTTACAATCATACAAAATTATAACAATGATTGAAGGTATGGTCAACAGGACATAAGTTCCATGTGAAGACCAACCAGTTAGTCAACGCTCTACCGAAAGTCGTTTTCTACTATAAATTCTACGTCATATAACCATTGATATGGCATTACATTTTCACTGTAGTACTTTAATCCTATCCGTCTTTATGACCTACAATCTTGGACATAACTGGTTGAGACTATTTTCCCCCTATAAAAAATTCGCGTATTTTTATGATAAACTCCATGATAAATCATGTTGCCATTCTTAAACCCCCGCTCCCCCAACTCAATGTTGAGCTTGTATCATGGTATATTACCAAAAGTTGTTTCGGCGTTGTTCACAACATTGAACTGGGGGGGAGGGGGGGACAAAGTTTGTTTTGTCAATGTTCAATAACTTTGTAATATTAGCTGGAATGGTCTCAAGGGTTTTGTCCAAGATTGTAGCATTTGATAGTCATGTTATCAACATTGCAGTCCACGTAGTTGGACACGAGATATTATTATTCCTTGACAAGTTTCCTTGACAATTTTTGTTGCTCAGTCGTGTGCAGGGAATGTTATTAAACATTGATCTCACGTCAAGGTCGCCTTTTGTGGCAAACGAGTAAGTTTTACAAGACCAGTTTTCCTTGATAATTTTCGAATTCCCTTGACAAGTTCTGTTGCTCGTATGCCAAATTAAAACCACAGAAGTATTTTTTGTACACTTGTCAAATTTTCCTTGGCGGCAGTACACATGAACAAATTTTCCTTGTCAAAAAGCAGACATGACTAGTTGACAGAACAAAAGCTGTCATGAAAGTTGTCAAATTTACACATGAGCAAATAAAAATTGTCAAGGAAATACTTTATCTTTCCCAAATTCTTAATCATGTGAATTTTGCAGATGGCTGACAGCCTGCTGCAGATCGTCCAAGACAATGTCAATATCATTCAAACTCGTCTCTCTTCCGACACTCACACGTAATGCGTTACACGCAATCTCGTTTCCAATCCCCATGGCGAGCAAGATACGAGACGGCGCAAACTGCTGATCAGAATGACAGGCGGCACCCAAACTGACCTGGGTTCTCTTGAGGCGCGACAAGACACGAAATCCTTGGAGATCTGGTCCGAGGATGGAAAAATTACATGTATTCGGTATCCTTTCGCTTGTGGCGAATCTTCCGTTGAAATGAATCTGATTGGGAAAACTTTCAACAAGTCGTTTTTCCAAGTGATCTCGGACCTGATTGTAAAAAATTGTTCTTCTCAATAATGTGAATTATGGTTTTTTCAAATTGCAAAATATATCAATTATGTCATTCAAAATCCAAGAATATTCGTATAGGCTATATAACAAGTGAAATTTGACGGGAAACGCGAAGTAAAGTGAAAGAGAAGGAATCAGAATGAATCGGTGGATAAAGAAAGAGAGAAAGTTGAAGAAAACTACAGTAAGAAAAGTAAGAAAACAGGAACGTGCCGAGCGATATCTAGTTGGGGGGGGGGGGCTCAAAGGTTTGGGCCCCCTTTCGGTTTGTCTGTGTTCTTGTAGGTGTATTGTTGTATGCCGAGTAGTGAGTGTCCACATTAAACCTTGCTCACTGACCTCACATATGGCAAACCTGCCCTGTGAATAAAACTTCATCTACCCTACCTTTCTCATGTGCATAGAATACGTTTCCAAGTTGTCGACAACAAGTTGCGCGGCCTCTCCTAATCCCGCAATCATACCAGTATTCTCCGTGCCAGGACGAAAACCACGTTCTTGACCCCCGCCAAATAACAGTGGGTGAAGTGGGGTATCTTTCGCAGGAGACTTCACAAACAAAGCACCTATATATGCAGAATGCAATTTGCCATAACAAACCATAAACATATAAAAAAATGCCTTGCCATTAAAGACCATGTAAAGTCCGTTCTGTGCATACGTTCTGCGCAGGCTTACATTCCAATGGTCGGGCCTTGGAACCGACCGTTGGAATGTTATCAATATTTCGTATCTTTTGAACTTTCTTGAATTGATTCTCTAGTCTGTATTCATTTACAAACATAGCGAATCAGAAGAGTGTTAAAAAATCAGTATAATATATACCTAATCATATTTTACAACTGTAGCACTGAGTTCAAACTGTAAACAAAGCGTTTGTTTACATTACGGACTTTACATGGTCTTTAAGGGTTTGAAACAGTGCAAAAGTTTCGACTTCTAAAACGATGGATGAACTTGGTAACTAGTTCCTGGTCCAGTATATAGTAGTACGACCACGTACTTGTTTAGAAAGAAAGAAAGAAAGAACAGTCTATTTTGACCTACCTATCCTAGGACCATAAAACTTATGACCCACAATTGTGAGGTAGTCTATTCCCAGTTCTGAGACATCGACGTTTATTTTGCCAATGGCTTGAGCGGCATCGGTGTGGACAAAAATCTTCGGATAACCGCTCTCATCTCTGCTGCATTGCAACTTTCTTATCTTTGAAACAATTTCGTTGATTGGCTAGGATAAAACAAGAAATGGGGCGTCAAAACTCGGTGAATTTTTTTTGCCAACTTAAAGTTCTGCGAATTTCATTTTGATCTCTGGAAAACGAGAAATAAGGTCGTGTAATTTCGTTCTCCAAATTGAAAGATAAAATTAGATAAGAGTTTAATGTTTTATGTTCTTTTCCTTTTTCGTATTCTCATTGCATCACGTCATAACGTTGAGTATGATTTTTTCATATTCAACGTTATTACGTCACTTCGTTGAATGTGATTTTTTCATATTCAACGTTATTACGTCACTCCGTTGAATATTATTTTTTCATATTCAACGTTATTACGTCACTCCGTTGAATATGTTTTTTTATATTCAACGTTATGACGTCACTCTGCATACATAATACCGTATGAAGGAACGAAAATGAAGATTGGACAAACGGAGACGCATGCGAGATTGTTATTCGATTCATGTTGAGATTTTAAAACGACAATTTAATACACCTGTATAACGCCAGATTCATTATTTGCCATCATTATCGATACAAGACAAGTATTCGGTTTAATTTCTTCAATAATCCTATCGACATCCACCATGCCCGATGTCGAAGACACTCCCACAACGGTTTTTTCACAGCAACCTTCTTTGACGAAATTCTCGATCGCCAATGTTACCGAATCATGCTCGATATTCGCGGTAATAATGTGAGGAAGCTGTTTTGAACTGTCATTTGTTTTGTAAAACATATTAAAGTGTTTCACAACGGACCAGAATACCGTGTTGTTCGCTTCGGTACCGCCCGAAGTGAAGATAATGTCGCCTTCTCGGGCGCCAACCATTTTCGCAACCCTACTCCTGGCGACATTGATGACTTCTTTTGCTTTCTTTCCCGAAACGTGCGCGCTACTAGGATTTCCCCAAGCATCACGTAGTGTTTCGTTAATAATTTGAAGTACAGAAGGAGAGAGTGGAGTCGTTGCATTGTAGTCTAAATAGACGGTTTTGTTCGCGATTTCTTCTTTCGCGTCCGCCATTTTGAAAACGGAATTTTTAATTAGAATAAATTTTTTCCTTTGAAAAGGAAAGTTAGATTTAGTTAAAAAAATTTGACAATTATTGGAAGAGATTTACAATTTTATGGCTTTAATCTCATTTTTTCTACTTGAAAGAGTAATTAGAATACAAAAATGAAATAGGAGATGATAAATTATACGCAATATGATTTAAAATAACATCTGAATTGTATTTAAAAAGTACGAACGAATGCGAAGGAATTCGAAGGAATGCTATTTTGTAGTGGAAGTATATAGTATTTTCCAGGGGGGTTGTGGCAACTGACGGCAAATCAAATATGGCCGCTGGTAGTGACGATTTAAAAGGTCTAGTTTTTAACGAGGAAATTCCCGAATCAACACACTTTCCCGGAGGAAACGTTACTGAATATGGCTCTACCGAACAGGCTAGACCAGGACAGTTAAGTATCGGAACGGATTCTGCTGAAACGGACCTAAAACAGGACTTTATAATAGCAGTTTTTGTCGTCTCATTTGATACGAGAAAAGGTTTGTATATAATGTATGCCGAGAGGATAATTTTTTTGTATGTTTACTATGTTACGTAAACACGCGCTCAAAACTATAATGAGTACAATATAGACCACTTGCGATTCATTCAAAATTTTATTTTTCGATACGTTCTTCAAGCAGCAAACAAACTTAAACAGTATGTTTAGTGCTTTAATTATACTGTAGAATTATGCTAAAGTGATTAATGAAGAGATTTTAGATGGTACGCCAAAGAGGAAATAATGTCTGAAGTTCAGTAATTAGTTTTGTTTATATTGGAGTAAATATGGCATAACTTGATAATTGATTAATTGTATTTTAATTGACAATTTTTTACAATTATGTTATGTTTCGGAACAATTATGTTGCGATTTGGAACACTTTCCATTGCAAATATGCAACATAGAAAAAATGCCCCTTATACAGTCAATAATTCATGTAACTTTTTCCTAACTGTTGCGAATGTTGTTCCCAACTCCTCTGAACTAAAAGAAGCTAATCAAATGCATTGTTTACAAACAGTTTGTGAGTATGATTATGAACTTTTGAACTTTGCAACAAACTTTGGAACGAAGTTTGCAACATTTAGGGAAAAGTTAGGAAAAGTTATGTGAAATCAACTATAATGAATAATATCAATGCTACTTTTTACACCAAAGTTAGTCTTGAAACATTGAGATAGTATGATTAGCATTTAATTATTTACTTAGCCATAAATGACAGGTGAGCTGTACAACAGAGCTTATTCAGAGCTTATAAACACTTTTATATATTAGTAATCATTTGAATAGACCATTATTTATATTGCAACTTATGTAGAGTCTCAGCAAAAGGTATATCTATAAATATTGTTTTTCCCCTCTTTAATAAAGCTGTATTAACTAACTAACTGAACTTGCAGAATTTTATTCCATTACTGCAGTCAATTTTACAGAATTTTTTCCAAAGTTCCAAACTTTGTTGTGAAGTTCAAAAATTCATATAGAAAGTCACAAGTAGAATGCTTAGTTTGCAAACTGGTTTGTGAATATTATTATGAATTTGCAACAAAATTTGCAAACTTGGGGACAAAGATCGTAACATTTTGGCAAAAGTTAAATGTGAGGATGTTGTTAATTTTACAAATTTTACTCTAGGTAATATAATAGAATGGAAGCATCCAGAGTCTGTTCAGCTGACTGGTGTGGAATTTAAAGCCTTAACAAGTGGATCACATACTGTATTTAAAGATTTTGTGTAAGAATATTCATAAAATTCATTAATTTTTTTGTTATCTCTTCTTTTTTTCATAGAAATTCTTGTAATTCTAGCTTGCCCCACCCTGAAAAAGTTAACCCATTGAGTCACATTACACTCTAATGCTCCCTATTTTGTTATTTTACTTTGTCTAACACCAAACGATTTTACTTGTCAAGGGGAGAGTGCTGATGCTCAATGGGTTAATAACAAGCATGAGAGTGAAATTGGTAAACAATGACATCCTGTTACAAATTTTGACCCTCCCTTTCTGAAAGGCAAATCTTAATTGTAGCATTAAACTATTAACTTTCCCCCGAAGGGCTGTGGGATTTCCCCTCTCTTTACATCACATCCCCTGGGTTCATCCCCCATGTCGTTTACTTTACTAGCTACTTTAAACATGGGGACAACCAGTTTGGTTTAAGTTGCTATCAGCGAATCTCAGTAGAAAGTGAAGATGAACGCGGGGCAAGAATGAAATCTGTTGGAATTATCTGTTCCAAGTATACGTCGCTACATGAACATATGGAGTTTCTTGAAGATCAAGTTAGGTAAAGAGATAATATATGATAATTATGGTAATTATATAGTGATAATTATGGTAATTATATAGTGATAATTATGTTAATTATATGCTGATAATTACGGTAATTATATAGTGATAATTATGGTAATTATATAGTGATAATTATGTTAATTATATGCTGATAATTATGGTAATTATATAGTGATAATTGTGGTAATTATATAGTGATAATTGTGGTAATTATATAGTGATAATTATGGTAATTATATAGTGATAATTATGGTAATTATATAGTGATAATTATGTTAATTATATGCTGATAATTATGGTAATTATATAGTGATAATTGTGGTAATTATATAGTGATAATTGTGGTAATTATATAGTGATAATTATGGTAATTATATAGTGATAATTATGGTAATTATATAGTGATAATTATGTTAATTATATGCTGATAATTATGGTAATTATATAGTGATAATTGTGGTAATTATATAGTGATAATTGTGGTAATTATATAGTGATAATTATGGTAATTATATAGTGATAATTATGGTAATTATATAGTGATAATTATGTTAATTATATGCTGATAATTATGGTAATTATATAGTGATAATTGTGGTAATTATATAGTGATAATTGTGGTAATTATATAGTGATAATTATGGTAATTATATAGTGATAATTATGGTAATTATATAGTGATAATTATGTTAATTATATGCTGATAATTATGGTAATTATATAGTGATAATTGTGGTAATTATATAGTGATAATTGTGGTAATTATATAGTGATAATTATGGTAATTATATAGTGATAATT